TTTCAGCGCGTGCAGCACAGCAGAAATAGATTCCGTGCGGAAACGATCACAGCATGACTGCTGCAGACACACCACTCCTGGAGCGCACTGCCGGACCTCAATCGCATACAGTGTGAACGCTCCGTTAACATGGGCACGGACAAAATACGCACCACAGACGGAGTGTGTGAACCTGGCGTTACATTTGTATGCCCGCCCGGTCTGTTCTGTTCTTGTGCTCCATTTAGGCGAGCTGCATTCTGATTGGTTCGGATACCATACTGCGGTCGGGGGGGCGAGGAAAATCGTGCTATTAAGCGATTTAGAAATCGCGCCAGCTCAAATCGCGATTTTTATGACTATTTCGATTAATCGCACAGCCCTAATTTACAAGCTAACAGAATTTTATAACACTATAGCAGACTACTTACAAAAAAGTAATATCAGTTGCCACTATTTCCCAAAAATGTCTTAGTAAGATGATATTTAAATGTTTAGCTTTATGATTTTAAGGATCTGGTTAGTTTCTAAACGCATAATGCAGTGCAATACAATGATGATTGAGAGATGAACAAACAAATGTGACCCTGGACCACAAAACCAGTCTTAAGTCGCAGGGGTAAATTTGTAGCAATAGCCAAAAATACATTTGTATGGGTCAAAATTATTGATTTTTCTTTTATGCCAAAAATCATAAGGATTTTAAGGAAAGAGATCATGTTCCATGAAGAGATTTTGTAAATTTCCTACTGTAAATAACTTAATTTAATTTTTGATTAGTAATATGCATTGCTAAACTTCATTTGGACAACTTTAAAGGCGATTTTCTCAATATTAATATTTAATATCTCGGGTCAAATATTGTCCTATCCTAACAAACCATACATCAATGGAAAGCTTATTTATTCAGCTTTATTAAGAAAAATGGACCCTTATGACTGATTTTGCTAGTATGAGAGCCTGTTCTAGCACACCCCCAAAACAAAATCAAGACTTTGTAAAAGAGTATAATAGGACCCCTTTAAGTACTCGTTTTAAAAAGAAATCTATTTTTATTTGCATTAGGCTACATCACAAAAAAAGCAAAACAGAAGTGGTATCAGATTTGTTAACTTTTAGAGGAGCAAATAATAAACTAAATCAGTAGAGTTAATGAAAGATTCTGTCTCGTATGAAATTCCACATATGTGACCCTGGAGCACAAAACCAGTCTTAAGTCACACAGGTAAATTTGTAGCAATAGCCAACAATACATTGTACAGTGTATTGTAGGCTATTGCTACAAATATACCTTTATGCCAAAAATCATTAGGATATTTCCTACCATATCAAAACTTAATTTTTGATTAGTAATATGCATTGCTAAGGACAACTTAAAGGTGATTTTCTCAATATTTTGGAGTTTTTGGCACCCTCAGATTCCAGATTTTCAAATAGTTGTATCTCGGGTCAAATATTGTCCTATCCTAACAAACCATACATCAATGGAAAGCTTATTTATTCAGCTTTATTAAGAAAAATGGACCCTTATGACTGATTTTGTGGTCCAGGGTCACAAATGTTCCTCAAAAGCCTGAAGACTATATTTGCAGGGATTAAAGTTCCGTCGCTACGACGGATTTCCGTCAGTTCATAAAGACAGTCACTTGCTTCATTCATAGGAGCACCTTCTGATCAATAATAAAAAATTCTGATCAAAAATTAGCCTTCCTAATACGAGCTGACATTTGACTCCTTAAAGTGACTTACAGGAGTATTTTCTTTTTACCTTTGTAATGGCATCATTTTAATCTGTCAAATTCAAAAATGTATGTTTATAGTCTTTTTAAAATTTCTATTTAAAACACTATGTAGAATAAGACAAAAGTTACCAATCATATGAAATTAGTATCAATAATTTAATTTGTACTACAGAGGTGGCACAAAGGAACACAAAAGTGTCTTGTAGGTACATTTTCAGACGTTTAATGAGGCTCAGAGGTAGCATGAGTGCAATTAAATTCATAAATTAATGTGGATTATTTTTTTTAAATATACAATTTTGAATACAGAAATATGATTCAAATAACTGAAATACGCTAAAAATGAAACTAAATCCGCCAGCAGGTGGTGGCAAGTCACTGATTTTATCACTGAATCATTCATTCAATTTATTACTTTGAACGGCTGAATCATTCAGGAATGAAGCAAGTGACTGTCTTTATGAACTGACGGAAATCCGTCGTAGCGACGGAACTTTAATCCCTGTATTTGATACTCATAATTCAACATGATTTTACTAAAAAAGTTATGTATGGATCAAGTAAACCAAATCAGTCCGGTAAGTGTTCATCTTGAAATATTAACAGTATTAAAGTTATTCTTAAATTTACTTCATAAAAATCAGTTAAGATTTCACAGCAAAAAGACAAGCTGAAACTGGACATTTGTACAGTTAAACTAAAGGTCCTTGCACACAATGCGTTTTTTTTTTTTCGTTTTTTTTTCCGTATTCATCATCCTTTCCTATCAAAATGCTTGCTACGGATGCGAAAATGCAGAAAATTGAACCTGATCCGAATTTTACGATGGACGGAAGTTTCGGAGGCAGTGTGTAAACGTGAGGTCGTATTTATTATTTGAAAATTTGAAAATGAAAATTTCGGACTCGATGTGCAATGACCTTAAGACTTGCTAATAAAATGTCTAAACTATCAATCAGACGACAAAAGGCATGTAGTGGTGTACAACAGGTTTTTCAGCAAAAGTTTTGATCTTGTTCATTTTGAGGCCATTTACATGTCGTTTTAGAGCGCAAGGTGGCCAAAGGGTTATTTCTATATAAACCCGTGTTTGATGCAGGATCCTTCATATTTTTTTTGTCTTTCGGTCTCATTCAGCAAATGGTGGGGTGTCTTTCCCAGCTCCATCCGGAAGAGATCGCCTATTTTAAGCGCTCTCTGAGTACTCACTGCAGATTCAGGAAGAACTACTCAAGGATTGCGGATCTTAATGACCCGCTGGATCTAGCTGATAAAATGATCGAGGTCTGCGGGCTGGGAGAAGCTCTGCATCTGACCATACGAGCCATCCAAAATGTCGGAAAGGACAATCTGGCCGAACACCTAAGGAAGACCTGTAGAAGAGGTAAAGCAGCTTCACACTTCACAAAAAAATTCATCGGGATTCAACTTTTTTTTTTTTTTTTTTTTTTTTTTTTTGGAGCTTGACAGACTTGGTCTCCATTTACATTTGATGTTTGACCTACTACAATGTATTAAATCACTTATATTTGACCCTAAAATGCTTATTGAGTTTCATGCACAATTTGAAAAGGAACATGTCAATTGTCTCATGATAAAATCATTATGTTGCCAAGATAATTTACATGTTGCCTGTGATAAACTCATGTGGTTAAGAAAATTAACTGCCTTTTGTAAAAAAAAATTGGGAGGTGTATTCTGATACACATTAAATAATTAGGTTAATTATCAATAATGGGATAAATGTGTGTTTTATATATTACATTTTTTTTGTAATTTTAATTTTTTTATCCTATGAATGTTAGGTTAGAAATGTTGATGACAATATTTAGAAGATTTAAAGTCTTTTTTTTCCCCTCATGTTTAAAATGTTTGAATTATGTTATAAAAGCTTAGTCCGTTTCGGCAAAAATTAAATAGTTTCTAGTCTCTTTTGCTCATCTAGGCTGGAATAAAATATAATTTATAAATGATGCAAAGCTGAATTTTCAGCATCATTACTCCAGTCTTCAGTGTCACATGATCCTTCAGAAATCATTCTAATATTCTGATTTGCTGCTCAAGAAACATTTTTGATTATCATCAATATAGAAAACAGTTGTGCTGCTTCATATTGTTGTGAAAATGTTGTTTTGTGAAAAATACATTAGATTCTTTAAATAGAAATTTCAAAACGAGCATTTATTTGAAATGGAAATCTCTTGTAACATTGAAAATGTCTTTTACATTCACCTTTGATCAATTTAATGCACCCTTGCTAAATAGGAGTTTTTTTTTTTGTTTTTTTTTTTACTTTAAACTTTTAAACGGTAGTTTAAACAGTCCTTTGTGACTCACAATAATGACTAAACACGTCACATATGGAAAGAATAACATGCAACATTATGCGTTCCAAAAGTTTTTTTTAATTTTTTTTTAATATAGCAAAGTTCAATTTAGTATAGAATGTGGTGTAAAATAAACCTTGTAATGTGTAAAAGAACTTTGTGTTTATATTCAGTCCCTGATTTTGTTTTGTTTCTTTCCAGCCGTGTTACAGCATGACCTGAACATAGCCCACGACCGATGCTATTACTCTCTCTATGAAGGCCGATGTCGTCCAGGTCAGCAGCGCTACATCAGCGACATCTACGTCGAGCCTGTAACCGTCATCAGAGGCAGCAGGGAGCCCATCAACCTCGAGAATGAGGTCTACCGGATACCATATACGATCCAGGAGACCCAAATCAGGGCCGCCGACATCTTTCGGCCCCTTCCTCACAAACAGAAACCCATCCGTACGGTCATGATGACGGGAATTCCCGCCTGCGGTCTAACGGTGGCCGTGAATAAGTTCATCATTGATTGGATGGAGAGAAAAACCAATCAGGATTTTCAATTCATCTTTCCTTTGCCAGCAAAAGAACTGCACCTTGGGAAAGATGGAAATCAGAGCTTCCTAGAGATGCTCGATAGCTTTTTCGCAGAAGCCGATGACATTAAATTCATCGAGAAGCCCGATTGCTTGAGTCTCTTCATCATTGATGCTCTAGAACTTTGCAAACACAACCTAGACTTTAAAAACAATGAAGTTATCTCAAGCGCCAGGGTGAAAGCACCATTAGACGCCCTTCTCACCAGCTTAATAAAAGGCACATTGCTTCCTAACGCTCGAGTTTGGATCACCAGCCATGTCACTGCCGCCCACCGAATTCCTCCGCAGCTAATCGACAGGTATGTAGAGTTAAGAGGATTCACAGATGAAAAGAAGGAAGAATATTTTACCAAGAGGACGACCGATCCTGAGCTCAGTAGGAAGGTTTATAACCACATGAAACGCTCCAAAGCCCTTGAGATCATCTGCCACCTTCCTCTCTTCAGCTGGATGGTGGCGTTCATCTTCGAACGAGGCTTTCGAGATCCCGAGTACGGCAAACACCCACCTGGCATCACGGCGTTTTATTCACAGTTGATCATCGTGCAGATGAACCGCTCGTTCGAGAAGTACCGCGGCTGCAACGTTGAGGAACAAAAGTGGAGGGATGAAGATAAGATGTTTATTGACATGATGGGGAAAATGTCATATAGGATGATACAAGAAGGTCGAGACTGGTTTACGGTGGAAGATTTGACCTCCGTCAACCTGACCTACGAAGATTTGCGCAGTCGCGATGAATTAACCACTGAGGTCAAACGAAGGAACGAAGACATTCATACTTGGGTCTTTAAGTTTGTTCACATTACCGTTCAAGAGTACATGGCCGCCATGTATGCCTATGTGGTGTTTCGGAAACATGGTAAAAATGTGATCGAACCAAGCAAAATGTCTTGGTTTCAGGGTCCAAATAAGGATCGGCCTGTGATTGAACTGTACCGTCCTGCCATCGACCGCGCGCTGGCGTCTCCGAATGGTCATCTGGACATGTTCCTGCGTTTCCTGGTCGGATTGGTGACTCCAGGAACTGAGGATAACCTGCGCGGATACCTGCTCGGTCACTATCACCCCAAAGCCAAAGGCACAGAGGAAGTGGTCAAATACATCAACAAAAAAATGAGAGATAACATCCATCCTGACAGGAGAAGAAATCTGGAGTTGTGTCTGGTGGAGCTGGAGGAAGGAAAAGAGTCAAGATGAGAAGAAACCAAGCAGGACCGTGTTCAATCTGTTAAGCGAGACTGTGAAACACTAAACTAAACGCAGTGTCTCACAGGAACGACTCGGTTAAAGGGATGGTTCACCCTCTCATTATTTACAATACTGGTCAAAAGTTTGGAATAATTTGGATTTTTACTGTTTTTGAAAAGTCTCTTCCAAGGCTGCATTTATTTGATCAAAAACAGTAATATTGTGAAATGTTATTTCTATTTAAAATAGCGGTTTTCAATTTGATTAGGTTAAAATGCAATTTATTCCTGTGATGTAAAGCTGAATTTTCAGCATCATTACTCCAGTCTTCAGTGTCACGTGATCCTTCAGAAATCATCCTAATATGCTGATTTGCTGATTAGTTATTGTCAGTTGTTGTGGAATTTGTGGTGGTATTTTTTATTATTTTTTTTTTCTTCCCAAGATTCTTTGAATAGAACATATAAAAAAAACCAACAAAAAAAAACATTTATTTGAAACAATTTATTTAACATTATAAATGTCTTCACTGTCAGTTTTAATCAATTTAGTGTAGCATGAGAAGTGTTTCTTGCGCAGAAAATCAGCATATTAGAATGATTTCTGAAGATCATGTGACTGAAGACTGGAGTAATGATGCTGAAAATTCAGCTTTGATCACAGGAATAAATTACATTTCAAAATATATTCAAATAGAAAACGCTGTAAATTGTAATATTTCATTTCACTTGTTTTTACTGCATTTTTGATCAAATAAACGCACCCTTGGTGAACAGAAGAGACTTTTTCAGAAACATAAAAAAAAATCCTAATGATGCCAAACGTTTGATTGGTAGTGTACATCATTAACATCTTTGGTCACTGCAGCCTTTATTGATTTGGGATAACACATTTTTCTTCATTTTTGTTAAGATAAAATCCACTGATTTGAGTGACGCATAAATGACACGTAAATTATAAATTCAGGTGAGTAAACTCCTGTTTATTGGGTGAGCGGTTCCTTTAACTATTTTTGGTGCTGTGAGCCGAGAACATCCGTTTGCTTGTTTGAGTCGGTATGATGAAGTGTTTGCTTCAGGCTTTCTTCAGCTTTAGAGATTGAGAATAGCCAATTATAGCACTAATAATTGTTAAAGTGCACACAATGCTTTAAAGGGACTGAAGAATTGGATGTGCACTTTTCAACAACAATCACTGCTTTCTAGTATCACCAGTACCTAATCTTGCAAACATTCATTAAGCAGTAACATGAATAACTAGACTATTACCCTGACAGAGCAGCATGATATGATGTTTTTATTCATTTTTCTTTGCTTATATGATCAGTCATTGTTTTTCAGGTTTTAGGAAATCACAAGAGACTGATGGATTTTACTTTCGTCATTCGCTTCAGATTTACACTTCAGAAAGAGATCATGTAGTTACTCATCCAGACTTTTGAAAATGTTCAATTAGTCTGGTCTGCTTTTATACACTGACAGTTGATGGATTTGAGGTGAAATAGTATTTAATTAGCCGTTTCTTTTGTTGTTGGGGTTTTTTAAAGAGGTGTGTGGGTTGCAAAGCCAAAGGATCGTTGATTTATGCACAATCATCACCACGGTGTCCTTGACAAACATTTATAATAAAAGTGTCTCTTGTAGTGATGGACTGATGTTTCTTTCCATATAGAATTTATAAAAATGTAAAAAATCTAGCATTTCATGTACCCCTAAATAAAATGTATATGCATTCTTTATAGCAAAGTAGGTGTTTATATATTTCTAAAAACATATGCTATGATTTGGAACTTTCATGCATTTTTAACATGCAAAGATGTTTTTTTTTTTGGAAGTGATTTCTTAAATATTTTTTCTAGGCTTACAGACTCATGTAATTAAAACAATTACCACTGAGAATAAATTTCAGGGGCCAAATATTGCCCCTTGATTAAAAAAAAATCCCGAAATGCAATTGAATAAATGTTATGTAATTTATTCATACATTTTATTACAAATATAATTTGTTTGTGCAAAAATAACACCGTGCAGTTATTGTTGTTGCTTGGATAGAGCCCCCATTTTTCGCATTTTCCCGAACGCCTCGCGCGATTTTCCGGCGGAGGAGAGATCCAGCGCCTAACGTAGTACGATATAATAAAAAAAAGTGAAGGATTGTGAATACTTGATTTGTGTCCGTGATGTCCGTGTTGTGATATAATAAAGGCTGCGGGCAGCGGTTTGATCCAGAAAGCAATCCTGAAGGTGAGTGTTTGTCATGAAGTTTACTCATCTAAAGTCTTCATTCATTTGTATACCGCGCTATTTAATATTTACCTTCATACTGTTACATTTCAATGGGCTTCCATGGCTCTGGTTTCCTGTCTGTGCTTTAGAGTACACAGTGGAGCCAGAAATACATAATGCATAAATATCAATAATCTTGCTTTGTTCATTGTTTATGGATTCATACATGCATCATTCTGAACTGGTCAGATCTGCACAGAACACAGTGAATTATATGCTTACATGACAAAACACTGCAATATACTTTAATTTGAAAGTCATTAGCAAGCATATACTGTATAATCATGTATAATAGATGATAGCTAATGGAAATGGAAATGTCACATAACTTTGCATTATAATGTGCTTTTTTTTTAATCCCAGAAATGTAATGGTTAAATTTGTATAAATTAATGATCAATTAAGCAATTTCAATTCAAGATTATATTTTTTATATGAATTAAGATGGTGTTTTTGATAGCATGCCATCCAGACACCGCTATTTATATTATAAAATGTTTCCCAACTTTGCTTAATTATAATAGAGATCTTTTTTTGTGATGTGTATTTGATATCAAGATGCTTAATGAAAAGTGTACTTTGCTGAAAAATAAAAATACAGTAATTAAAATCCTCAAAGCATTGTGTTACATGGATTTTGCTTCCTCGAGTTTAGTGACTCTTATTCAAGAAGAATAATATATAAAGTATATAAAATAATAACAAATAAAATAAGTAAATATATATAAAATAATAATAGTAAAATGTAATAAATAGATTAAATAAAAAAAAAAATTTCTTCATTCAGTGACTAATTCAAGAAGAATACACTGAAGAAAAAATAAGTAAATATGTGAATTAATGATAAAAAAAACATATACAATAATTAATATTATTAGTAATAATAATGATAATTACAAATGTTAAAATAAGCGATTGAATGAATTTGCATGTAATATTTACAGAGATCTTTGTTTATAGTGTAGTGCTCATTAGTTTTAAGTGTAAAATCATGTTTTGCAGATGCATGTACGTACCAGCAGGAGTTCCTGTGTTCCGTCATGCTCTGAGTGTTTGAATATCATGGGTATAAAAATATTCCTTCTTTACATAATTGTCCATATTGCAGTATAGCAGTAATAAAAACAATGTTTTCTCACACTATTCCTTTGCACAGTTGCAAATAAAGTGCATATTGATTTTATTTTGTACTATTTACTGGTGTCAGTGTTGAGAAAATATTTGTATTGTTGTTTTTTTCCTCTAAAAGACATTCCAACAAATCCATCGTACTTCATTTCTCTCTTGTTTCTTCAGGGTTGGTCGTGTTGTAAGAGACGGACGACAGACTTCTCAGATGTTCTTAGTATTGCGGTAAGTGGCTCAGAGCCCCTGAGGAAGACATATCCTTCTCAGATTTCACTCATCTTTCAAGTTTAGTGAAACATTTTATACTCAAGTCCTACTGGTCTGAATACATGTTGCTTCGAACAATTATTCTGTTTTGCATTTGTCTTCATTAATTCTCAAACGGTTCCTTTTGAAAAAAGTTCAATCATATTCTAACCAGATATCAGAACCAAGTAAAATTCTTTCAGAATCTGTGACTTAGAGATATCGCAGAATTCTAGCGTTAAAATAAAGCTATAAAATGCAGATTTTCCATGCATGTCTCACCCAGACGCATGTAACACAGATACGTGTTTGTCTCATCACTGAAATACCTCTACATGCTTCTTTTTGTCAGGGCTGCGCTAAAGGTCCTCATAACAGTGAGACGCCGCTGGAAGCCGTGAACCTGGACGTGAAGGTCTCTGGAGAGAAGAAAGAGCTGGAGGATCTCAAACCCAGGTTTAACGAGTACGTCATCCAGGCGCCCAAACCGCTGGAGTTCATACAGAGACCCAGGTAACTCCTCATCTTCATCTTCATCATCGTCATTATTATTTTAGCTGCTAATTCATCAAAAACATCGGTTTCATATTTGATTCGAATAATGACACTCATCTTGTGTAGAGCCGCTTTAGAGCTGAAATGGAATAATTTTCATGATTTATGAATTATGCAACATTAACACGTTTATTTTCTTGATTAAGGTGTTTTGTCTCTGTTGTATAATGCACCATATAAATAAATGTGCTACTGTTGCAGCTCTGATGAGCCGCTGGTGGAGCTGCAGAGGAAAGTGGCTCCGTCTCTCAATCAGGAGCTCGAGAAGCTCAGACTCGCAGGCGTTGATCAACCTGAAGAAAAAGGTAACGTTACACCAAAATAAAGCTTGTAGAATTTTTTAGATTCATTCTCATTTTATTTTAAACCCATACTGAATTGATGTATTTCAAAAAGTGGTGAATGGAATCAATAGATTTATAACAAATTATATAAAGTGAAGCTAGTTCTACATGGTTTTATTCTGAAAATAGAAATGATCAGACTGTATATACAAAATGTAGAATAAAAAAAAAAAAAACTCCTTAAATATTAGAATTTTACAAATATCAAGCTGAAAGATTGAATATAATTGTTATTTTTATTTATTTATCCTTTTTTCTTTGTTTGTAAAAAATAATATTGTTAAATTATAGTATACAGTTAATTTAATTATTATTGTTATTAAGATTTATTAAGATTTTATTAAGTGTTTAGATCTTGTACTCATATGGCATAAAAAATACAATTAAATTCAGAAAACAAAAAAACAAAGAAAGAAACAAATAAATAAATAATTTATATTATATAAATATTATAAAAATGTAATTAACTAATAAATTATATAAAATATATGTATTAAAAAAAAAATATATATATATATATATAAACCAATATATTTTAAAATAAATATAAATAAATTCTCATTGTATTTGAT